GCAGATCACTAATCACTGGTTACAAAAGATGTCCTAGTTCTAGATTAAAATATATTCTAATATGCTTAAAGCTTTTTTTCCCTCTAGGTTGTTATTTTAAGCTAAAGTGGAATATTATCTAAAATCTTCCGCTACTGTTTACAATTTAGAATTAAATGTGCTTTCTGCTTATATTAGTGCTGCTGAAGAAATGTACCTAAAAGACCTGTCACTTTTTGTGCAATTGTTTCTGTGGCATTATTTTCATTGGTAAGTGTACCAGCTGATAGAAAAGGAAAACATTAGGTGCTCTCAGTATTGCTGAGGCATGGAGCTAGAACAGGTCAGTCACTGCATTTTGCAGATTGTGACATTCTAAATTACCTGTACGCTACTGGAAGCAATCTGTGGGCCTAATTAACATCTCACCTAATTAATGTCAGGACTCTATATAGAGAAATCTAGGTAGTTTTGTACTGCCTTTATTTATTAAATACCACATTATTCAGATTTGCTATCTTTAATTTCAGGATTGAAAACTTCAGATTTGTGTGCTGTTTTCTTAAGTGGAAGTAACTTTTTTTTTTTTTATCCTTCAAGTAATCAATGCACTGCTGAATGAGTTCATTTTAATGCACTCAATCATGCCTCTAATGTTTGTAGCTTACGGGCGCAAGCATCAGTAATGCAGGAATGTTATATGGCTTTAGTTTGGGCCATTTCATAAAATATTCATGGAATCAAAAATGTGCATCAAAATAGCGGCTGGGAGAATTACATTTATGTGCCTGCTTTTATGGCAGCTTCACATTTAAACCCATTTGTGTTAATATCTAGTCAATCTTTCTGCTAAAAAAAAGGCAAAATAGTAGTCTCCATATATACCCCTTTTAGTTTGATATCTATTTTGATATAACAAATGTATATTTTTGGAGTAGTTTTTAGGAAGGGAATTATAAAGGAAGTTTTAGGTAATGTAAAAACGTTTCTCTTCAGTATTTACAAAATTACATTGAGTTCTTGTGCTTGAATGAATAGATTTGTTTTTTGACTTCAAAGCAACTCAGTGAAAACTGTAGCACAAATCTTTGTGCATGCATATGTAGTTCCTATGAAAATAAGAGCAATTTCTAAAATTTGATACTGTTAGTGGCAGAGTAATGTCTTATATTCATGTAATTGTTTAAAATTGATTCTTTACTCCCCAAATTATACGGTGATGATGTTTGCCTCTCATATTTTAATTAAACTACTGCTGATAGGGTTCCTTTTGTTGTGCTCTGAGCTACATTAAACTATAACATGTTAGTAACGGTAGTGTATATGTTGTAAGAATTATATATCTGGGTTTTGATTCCTTTTATAAACAAGGAAGAGATTCTCAAACTCCATTTAGCATATGCTGAGCTTATTTCTGCATGGCAATGGGAAAAGAAATACACAATTGCTTTTAATGTTGCCAGTGGAAAATAGCTATACTGCTCTGTGTAACATTTTGAAAGTAGATTTTCCAAATATAGATGTTCTAGAAACACCTTCTAGATTTTCTTTTTAAATTTACAGAGACGGAAAAGACAAATTACAGACTATTTCAAGTGATTTTCCTACTTACTGTTTTTTCCTGTCATTTTGCTTTTTTTCTTCTTTCAGCTGATAGTAGAAGTAATTTAAAACTCTGCCTTGTCACTGCTTAGGTGAGGTAAAAATACTCTTTAGTCTCAAGTATGTTCTGTAGTTGACTTATTACTTTCTTTTAATGTTTTTCAAGATTTTCGGACAGCATCTACCTTTGTGCCTAACAGTTGCAGTATTTCACTGTTTAAAAATTGGAATGCACTGGCCAGATCAATTCCAACTGAATTGACACATGACAGTGAATAAACTTGCCACCCTCCTGAGAACATTTTTCTTCCACAATGTTTGAGGTTCACGTTAACATTATGGATTAAAGAAATAGGTTGGTATGTCATTTGCCAGTGAGAACAAGGGATTTCAGATTATTTTGATCGAGGAATGTATTTCAAAGTCTAAAAAATTTTAACTTCCATTACTCTGAGAGGTCTCAAATAGCTAGCATTACTTGAAAGAGTTTTCACTAAGCAAGTTCTCAGCCATGTAAGAGCTTTCAGATCAGGAATTCCATCTCTTCCAGCAGATTTTTTTTTTTCTTTTGCTCAGTAGTATCTTGCTGGTGTTTCTGTGAGCAGATTTTATTACTTTTTACCTCATGATATTTTCTAGTAGTTCAGAAAAGCCAAATGTAATTTAGTTTCATTTGAATACTGTCAAAAATATTACTTTGCTTTTCTATTTTGAAGCTCAATGTAGATGGATTGTTTGTAAACAGATTTCACTGAGAACTGGCAAAAAGGATGTCAGGTCACAGCTCTTCTGGTTAGGTGAACGCTTAAGAATTATGGGGTACATGGAATATATGAGTTCGATTTCTAGTTTGACGGAAACTTTCTCAAGGGGATATACTGTAAGTGAGGAAGCGTGGCTAAGAATTACCATACCTGATAGTTCTAACAATCTGAACAATAGTTCTGAAGGTTGCACATATCATTTATCTAACCGATGTGTCCTGTTAAGAAATTACATTAGAGAGTCTTAGGAGAAAGTCAGATACTGTGTTCAGCTCCAAATTGCATATCCAGGTGATACCATCAATTTGTTTGCTGCTTCCTATTCTTACTAGAAATTTTTGAGTTACACATTAATCAAATTGTGTTATTCGAGTGTATCAATTACACATAGAGTGAAACTACATACAGTGAAACTAGATCACTTCAATGTATGGCAATATCATTTCAAAAGTGCAATCAGTTGATTAATAAACTTTGGAGGGAATTGCAAAGAGTAGTCTGTATGTGCTTATGAGTATCCAGATGGATAAAATGCTAGCTCTAGATATTAGCATTAAATTTCAACTCAACTTTCCATCATTTGTCACAAAGCCAACACCAGCTTTTTCAATTAATATCTTACATCAGCATTTAGCAACCTGGATAACTGGAATTCTGTTAGCTTTTGACTTGGACTTGCCTTAAGAAGTTAAGTGGACTGAATCAGCAGAAACCCAAAATCAAATTGGAAGCCTCTTTAGAATGCTTGAGATTTTTAATCTGGGTTTAGCAAGCCTACATCTCAGTTTCCTGTTACGTGTACTGTCAGTGAATCCTTAAACAGCTTGTACTGGTCATGATCGTTTCACTTTGCATTTCTGTTTGTTCAGTATGATGTCAAGTATGTGATGTTTGGGAAAGAACATCATCTTTTCCTGTCTGTTTAAAGGGTCTGCTAGCTACTGTGGCAATAAGATTATTTTTTTCCCCAGTGTTTTGGGCCATGTCTCCAATACCTGTCCCTAGGTAGTGTGGAACTCAATAAAGACTGCTGTCTCCCCTTTCACCTGAAGGTTCACTCTTTAACGCTTTTTGATGTGTCCTTTGGGACTCTTACATGAATCATAGGTTGTAGAGCCTTAAAATTGTTTGTCTATGAAACTCATTTAATTGATTTCTTACTTGAAGGAGAAGTTTCTAGCGCTCATCCATTTTAGTTGAACTCAATCATCAGAGAAGCTTAATATGAAAATAAATTTAATTCTAATGAAGAGTTATGTTTTATATTGCAAAGTTGAAAACGTGGTTATACAAGGGTAACATACGCAAAAGAAAAATCTAAATTAAGTTAATAAGAGGAAACTGTCGTTGCTGTTCTGCTGCCTCTGGATTGACTGGAGGCCTGGGGAACTAGCCTTGTTTTCTTTCAGGATATCGAAAGCCCTTCTCCAGAATACTCTCTCTTCCTTTACTACAACTGTAAAACAACCTCCAGGTTCTTTTTTGTTACTTGAATGCAGCACTGTAAAAACAGTCTGCAAAACAGTAATGGTTCCTTATAAATGATGTTTCAGAAGAGGTATAAGCTTCAAACACATCTAAACAAACTTAGTTTATTGTCTGCTTCCACTTTTAATAGAAATAGCAATTGATATATTGATGATCTATGGGTCAAGATTCCTCCACCATGCACATTCACAAACTTATAAAGGGTCACAATCACAGTTCTCCCTGCTTATGGATTGTTCTTTGTAAAACAGGGCACTGTCACCAGAATGTTTTGGGGTGTTTTGGGTTGGTATTTTTATGTAAATAGTCTGATCATACCTGCCTCCCAGCAGATTTGATGTACCCATTATGTATAAGGAAAAGCTTTTCTGTTCTTTCAAAGGGCTTTGAATTCCCATCGTCCAGAAAACCCTGGAAATCTCCTAGATTGCCTATATACATGGAGACAAATCTAGTTGAAGGTAGAGGGGAGGGAGGAACTACTTACATGTTAAAATCAATTGATCTTTGTTTTCAAAGTTTCCTTTGCCTTAAAGATGTTTGAGTAACTTACACTTTGAGGTCTTCATACATGATACTTCAAGATCAGCAATTAATCTATTAGTGGTTAATGCTCTTCCAGTATATTTGCTACATAAACTCACCAAAGTTGGCCTAATAATAGGTGATGAATACTTTACATAATATTTCTCTTTTCATCAGTTAATTTATACAAATACAGATTGTTTGTTTCCCACAGTTTTGATACATCTGTTCTCCCAATTTCAAATCTTCCAGCACAGATTTTTATTATGGAAAAAAAACTTGGAACAGCTTGAATTGTGGTTATTTATGCATAGATGGGATTTTGAAATATGTATTCATGAATCTATAGTAGATGTATTTTCTAGAAAATTCTGACTTCACATCCTTGCGTCACACACCACCAACATTGTGAACCTACAAAGGAAAGCTAATTTAAAATCTGATAAGTTTAAATTACATTACTAGCAACTGTGAGATCTGGCAGTATTTTCCAGTCATCAGCAAGTTATATATTGAAGAGTCTTAAAAAATTTTGAAATTATTGTATGCAACTTACTTTCAAATGAGAAAATTATTGTAAACTAGTAACTTTTTAAAAAATGTTGATTCCACTGATTGTAATTTAAAAATTACATTTCTCAGGTCATGTTGTGATAGCTGCTGAACATTATGAAGCATTTTATCAGCTAGCACAAGGTTCGACGTGGAAGGATGAGACAGGCCGTACTTACAGTGCACTGGCATGTGAGCATCTCTGGAGAATTTATACATTACTAGCAGACAAAATGCTAGTAAATAAAGAACACCAACAGGCCATCAAAACACTAATAAAAGCTTTAAAAATGGCAAAAGAAGGTAGGTGGAAAATAACATTTTTACATTCCTTTATTTGATGTGCATCCCATGATTTTCCCAAGAGTAAAGTAGAAATTGTCAAGTATTTGCCTGGGTGATTATTTCCTGTGGAATTCAAAGACAAATGCTATCAATGCACTTCCAGACCTCACTAAAGCAGAAATGCCTGCTTGCTGACAACACAGAATCTTTAGATTGCTGAAAGCTTTATGTCCAAAAAACAACATTTTGGGAATAACAGTATAAAACAGAACCCATAATCAGAAAGTGAGATCACTGATGGAAGCTCAGCTCACTGATTTCGATTGGCTAGTCACTGTTCATTTGGCAATTTTTGAGTGATATTACCTGCTGGAACACTACATTTTCACTCTACATAGTTATTTATTACTTGCAAAAAAGCCCAGTTTTCTCTCATAAGCAAACGAGATTTCTTCTGTATATCTTAATACATGTAAGTACTTCAAAACCTAAAGTAAAAAGCTACAGAATTGCAGAATAGCTGAGGTAGGAAGAGACACATCTGGTTCTATTTAGCTCTAACCAGGAAAGGAGGTCAACACGGTCAGCTAGAGTAGGCTTCCCAGGACTGCATCCAGTCAAGTTTTTAATGTCTTTGCAGGTGGAGACCTCATAAGCATTTGGAAAAGCATTTTCCTCTGTTCAGACACCCTCACACTAAGGAAGTATTTTGTGGAGTTCAGATAGAATTTTAATTTCTGCCCATTGATCTTGTCCTTTGACTAAACACTACTGAGGAAAGCCTGGCTCCATCTTCCTTACACCTTCCCATCATAAACTTGTAGACAGTGAAATTTCCTCTGAGTCTTTCTCTTCTGTGGTCACAACAATCTCAACTCCCTCAACCTCTCCACTGAGAACAGATGCTCCCTGTCCCTTAGTCATCTTTGCAGCTGTTCACTAGACTCACTCCACTATGTCCATCTCTCTCTTGTACTGGGAAGCCTCAAATGGGACACAGAACTCCTGGGATGACTTCACCTGTGCTGAGTAGAGGCAAAGAACCATTTCCATCCACCTGCTACTGCAGCCCAGGATCCCATTGGTTGCCTTTGCTGTGAGTGAGCGTTGCTGTCTCATGGCAACTTGTTGTCCACCCAGAAACCCAGGTATTTCTCTGCCAAGCAGCCTGCTGTCAGGTCAGACTGCAGCCTGGGCTGGTGCCTGGGGTTATCCCTCCCCAGGTGCGGGACTTTGCATTTCCCTTTCCTGAATATCATGAGACCGCCATCTGCCCTTTTCTCCAGCCTGCTGAGGTCCTTCTGAATGACAACACAACCACATATGTAGTGGATCAACCATTTCTCCCTGATTTTGTACTGTCTGCAAGCATGCTGAGGGTGTGCTTGGTCACACTGTCCAAGCCATTAATGCAAATAGTAATCACTATTAGTGCCAGTATCCATCCCTGAGTACGTCACTAGTGGCTGGCCTCCCAGTAGACTTCATGTTGCTGTTAACAACCCTTTGAAGGCCAGCAGCTCAGGTGGTTTTCAGTCTACCTTGTTGTCTATTTATCGAAGCAATATTTTATTAGCTTGTATATGAAAATGTTATGGGAGACTGTCAGAAGTCTTGCTAAAATGGAAACAACATCCCCTGCTTTCCCTTTATCCACCAAGCCAGCCAACTTGTCCTAGAAAGCTATAAAGATGGTGAAGCATGAATTCCCTGACCTAAATCCATGATGACTACTCCTAGTTGCCCTCTTGATAATGGCTGTATGAGGCTTTGCCCATGTGTGCATAGGTTTAAAATCAGGGAAAATTAGAATAGCATTTGAATGTTATGTAGAATGTGAGATGTTAGTCAGCTGGGTTTACCATGCTCTGGAGCATTTCTTACACATGAGAGGGAACAGGAGAGACAAGGCAAGTCTTACAAGTTGACTTTGTATAAATATACATGATTTTCCAGATTTTTTTAAAATCATATTAATGCTTTTTTCTCAAAAGATGTTTTTAAATGTCTACTTCTACAGATTTAATTTTCTTAGATTATTATCCTAGATAATATTCTGGAGTGCTTCTCAGCACAGTAACATAGGTCTCAAATAATCATCTTTTCTCCTTGCACAGCAATTGAAGAGCCTTTTATGGTATTCCTTACGGGGCATATTTTGCATATGAATTGCACATACAATTAATATGTAATATTAATTCAATATTTATCACCAGATATGTTCATTTTTTTTATATTTAATAATGAATGCCCAACATTAATCTGTTAGCCAGTCTTTGAGAGGTAGTTGGGGTAGACATGAATAAACTATCGAAAATTACCAAAAACTTGACAATATTTTCAACAGTTTAAAATAAATTTTGCTGCAGATAAGTATATGACTATACAGATAGATTGTATAACACAGTAATCTATAGAAAAGTATAAAATGTATTCAGTGAAGCCAAGGCAAGTTCTTGAAATATGTTTATTAGGCCAGCAGATATTCTTTGGAAAAATGAACAAAATTTCAGGCATCTAAGCCCATGTGAACTTTACCATTTATTACTTTTAAAAGGGCCAGGAAATTATTTCTACCTCAGTTTTTTAAAATATATACTAATTCAAAAGAACAAAAGTTTATCATCTTGCTTTATCTCATGAAGGAATAGTATTTTAAAACACCATTTGAAATCTAAATGCTTTCATGTGGTAATCTTTAGGGAATAAACCAAACAGGACTTTGGGGGAAGATATTCAATTCTTTCTATTTCAAATGTGTAGTTTGGGAAGGTATATGATTACATTTGGCTATTTTTTTTTCTTTTAATTAAGCCACTAAATAATCTGGTTTTATCTGCAATTTACATTAGTAGATCTGTTTTGTGAGTTGCCTGTTTAGCTCTTTTCTCTTGGGAGCGCGTACCCTGGTACTGAGAATACCAGTACAATTAATCAGCTGAGGAAGGACGTATGTATTCAATAACTTTTCTGTCTTTTCTGGCTGCATGTGTTGATCAAATAGAGGCTTTTAGCCTTTTCTAAATATTGATGCTTAAGTCACAGCTACAGTAAAACTGCTGCTACTAATACTTACTGTAGTAAATAGAATGACTGCTAATGGAGTTTCTAATCAACTTCTTCCTATTGCTAGTGAAAACTGCTGGAAATTAAGACTGTTAAAAAGGATCTGATGCCTTTCTGTAACTTACTTTGACCAGCCAGGTGTTCTAGTGCCCTTACTTTGAATCAATCACTTTCATCGCTTCCTGAGACATATAGTAAAGATCACTATGCAGACTATACTTACCACTGCTCTCTTGAAATGTAAACTTGAGAAGCTCCTCTGAGACAAATTCTCCAGTCCACTTCCCAGAACCACAGCCTCTGTCTGTGAAACCCACACTTAGCAATTTAGCTGAACACATACTGGCTCTGGCTGCCATCTGTAATATCCATTCTGTCCTTCTGGACCATCATCTACATTTATCTATTTTATGAATTAGGATTAGATATTACCTACTTCAGACTCACTGCCTGTTCTTAAGTGAGGAAGGAACTTTTTTATATTCCTGGTAACTTTTCATATATCATTCCTCTGTGGAGCTCTTTATAGTGCTTGAGCAGATGGATATTGAGCAACAGAAAGACTGCATTTCTGTCTATTCTTAATCTACATTTTTTTAGAGATACTCATGTTCTGGAGGGAAACTTTTGAATATAGTATGAAACAGTAAGCATTTGTATGATTACTTTATATAAATTTTGGTGTGGAAGGGATGATTTTCTATCAGGGAGCAATATAATAAGACCAGCAAGCATTGTTTATTAGATCAGTATTAGTGAAATAAAACCTGGCATGGAAAAGCATGATATACCTCAGTTAGCAACTGCCTGTGCAGAGTTTCCTATGATTATTGCTTCCAAATGTGAGGTCTCCCTTTTTTTAGCTATTCTAGCCTACAGTAGCTTGCAAAGTAGTCAGGAGATTAAGAAATATGAAACCTTGTCTACTGACAGTTCTCTTTTGGTGTTTCACTAAAATTCACATTAGCAAAGTCTGTGTCTCAATATATTTTGTCTTTATATATTAGGGTTTATTATATATTTGTAGGTACTTTCATTTTATAAATGAATATATGGAGAGAAGGTACTATGATTGTCTAATGTGAAGACACTATGGGTATTACTAAACAATTCATGACAGAGAACATTACAGCATGTTAAATTGATTGTACTGCATTACTTATGGAGGATATTTTCTCCGACTTTACTGAACTTTCTTGTTGAAATTTGTGTAAACCCATAGCCTTTACCTTTAGTTACTACTATATATTTTTGGAAAGAGATAAATGGCAAGGATAAGAAGGAAGAAAAATATACTACAATATTCAAATATCTATGTTATTTAAGAACCTGCAAGTGCTGTCTGTACTAATGTAATTATGTCCAGATGATGCTGATTCCTGTAATTTTAATCCTTTCTTTAGGAGGCAATATGAAGATGGAGGGAGAAGCTGCATATTGCTTAAGTTTAGCTTATAATTTTGCTGGAGAACAGCAAACGGCATTATCGGTAAGTTTATTTTAAAGCTGCTCTAGCTTTCCTGATGCCTTTCTCTGCCTCCTTGGCATCATAGGCATTTGGGAGAGTTGAAGACACTTGGCTCGTGAACCTTTTATAACTGTATCTAGTTCTGTAGACAGGGATCTATGTGGCTTAAGCAGTTATGGTTCCAATAAATTCCGGACTTGATGGAGTCCAGGTTTTCAAGCTTGGATCTGTAGAAATAATACAAATTGACAATTCAGGTTATATGTGATGAGCTTTCCTTTTCCTATGTTCATACATAAATAAAACAGTTCTTATTTAGTTAAGTTTTTGTATAAACACCAGTTTTGTGAAGTAGTTTGATACAGTACATTTGTGAGGAACAATTAAAAATACATCCATTTACATGTTTCAAACATCAGGAATTTGGAAGAAACATGAATTGCTTTTGGTATGAAAAGCTGTAATGCTGATGAAATCCCTTCTGTTGATGCTTGATTTCAAGCTTCTCTTCTTGTGTTTCCCTTGAGCTTCCCATACATAGTAATTCTAAGACAATCAGAATTCTACATGTGGAATTCTAATCTGGCAGGAAGGTTCCTCTAGTTCGTTGTAGGTCAGCGTGAGAGGAAAGATAAACAGCAACTTGATTTGTCTGTCTGTCAGAGAGTTCGCAGTCCTCCATGATCCTCTTAAAAATATTGCGTGGAAAATAAGTTTGTTTGAATATTTGGTCCATGATTATTGTGATTAATCAGCTGGATAATTACCATTTCTGGTTTTATTTGTTCCTTTAACTACAGAATGGCTTGGTATTTTGTTAATGAATGTGTTTTACAGTGGTCGTTCTTTGTGGTTATTTGTTGCGGTGGTTTATTTTTTTCAGAAATAGACCAATAGAAGTCACAGAGTGAATTCAGCGTGGGTTTCAATACTGCTTGCTTGACTTGTGTATTACAGGAGGGGTTCTAGATTTCTGACTTGAAATAACTTCTTACATGCTTTTAATGATTTGTGTTATGATTTTTCCAAAAGTTATTGACTATCTTTATACATAATTCTTCAGTGCTCATAAACCTGCTATTTCCGTAAAACAACTGAATGCTGAAAGTGAGAGCCTGTTCTATCATCGGTTGCAGTGAAAACCTGTAGCTGAATGTGAAAATATTTCAAAATTAAAAACCTATATAAAATTTTATACAATTTTATCTAATAATTGCAAGAGCAATGAGAGAACAGGTTGCTTGATCTCTTGTAGGAATGCAGTATGACAGATTAGAGTAGAAATTTTCGTACTGAAGTTTATCTGCGTTGCTTTTGGACTGACAAATGTGCCAGCATTCTTACCTGCTCAGCTTTTCTATTAAGTTTCTGAGAGTCACAATAAGCTTTGTGAATGAAGAGCAGCAAGATAAACAAGTGTACTAAGAAGGCTGCATGCATATTTGATCTCTCCATCACAGGATAAATTAATTAGTAAACAAGACTGCACAGTATCCATGACACACAAAGGATCAAACCACCCTTGAAAGTGTCAAAAATATGAAATGTCCTGGTATTGAACCTCAGGATCCATTTTGCCTACATTTTATAGCTACTCCTTGCCCTTCATTGCTCCCTTATGCCTCCTACCAAAAAGTTAAAGCAATCATTTGGCAGTTCTCTTTCTTTTTGTCATATGCAGATTTTTTTTTATTTATTGTTTTTAAGGAACATTCTGAAATCTTGATTTGTGTAATGTAGTGCTATTAATCTAAAATATATATATAATAGGTTGTGCCTGTTGTTTTTAGTCTTACAAAAACACCTAACAGAAATGTGTGCTTTTGTTAAAAGGGAAAGAAAGTCTCCATAGTACAAAACATAAATTATACATTATGTTAAGGGAATAAAATATTATTTTAACAGCAATGAAAATACCAATACTTTTAAGTGTAAATAGTATAATATTATATTATAATATAGTGGCATTTCCTCATATAATGGCATTTTCAATAATATCACACAAAAACTGATGAAGTACTTCCATTCAGGAATTACAGTGTGTCATGGGAGTAAGAAAAGGGGGTAAAATTTTAGCTCCTTTTGTCCTTAGCAATGATCAATATAGACGGCAGTAAACTATCTGTGGCTGACAGTGCAGTTGAGCCCAAGTTGTCTTCGCTCTCCAATTAGAAATCATTGCCTAAAATTTACCCTTCTGTTCTCAGTTTAATGGTCTCTGCATCCAAGGGGAGCTCAGATGCTTACGGAGATGAAATCATTGCATCCCGTTCCCAGAGGGCTCCTGGTTATCATTGCACATAACATGCAGACAATACTGCTAGGAGCCAGTTTGCCTCATGGTAATATGTAGTTCATCACCAGCTTCTGTAGCATGCTAAAGAGGTCTTGCCACACAGCTTGGGACTATTCGGGTGTGGACTCAGGGGTCTCAGCAGTTATTTTCCTGCTTTGCATCAGTTTTCATCTTCTTTATCCTTTTGTGCCGAGGTCCACCTCAGGCAGTCTCCTTCTAGGGGAATCTGAAAGGAGCAGCTGTTACAGACACCGTGTCCTCCAATTGTTGCCACTTGGTTCCTTTTGCTGTTCAGCGAGCTGCTCCCTCCCCCAACACGCGCACACAGGAGCATGCATATAAACTTGGTTCTCTTTCATTCATGTCTTCCAGCAGAGTGGAGAAGCATATGTTCAAAATATTCATTATCTGATGCAGTAATTAAAGGTTGAAATTATTAAGCTGCAGCCTATTATATCAAAAATATGCAGTCACTTAGTATCGCATGGGCTAGTTTTCTTGGAGAAGGTTTTTGATTTGCTAGGCACTTGATGTTTAATCTTACATAATTTGATTTGGTGCATAATCTGTATAAATTGGTTTAATTTTATTTGATATATATGATTGATTTCACCGGACCTACTCAGATGTAAAAACATAAGTGTGTGCAAGTTTAAAAGCCTGGGAACTAATTATGTTCAACAGCAGTGTGGCATGTTTGTAATATTTTTCCTATCATCTGGTTTATAATCAAGCCTAATGGTTTTTCCACAAAATATTAATAGTTCACATTTTACAGATTTTATCTTAAACATTATAGATTTTGTCAGGCCAATTTTAAAGTAAAAGTTACTGTTTACCTGGTTTTCTTCAGACTTGTATAACGAGCAAAGCATTAAGTGAAACACTTCTGTGTTATTAGGAATCTTGCATAAACTATTGTAATCTAATTCTTGATGTGGGAATCTTTTTTAAAACTGGGCTTTCAAGAATGCTTCAAAGAGTTGGACATCAAGGTGTTTTTCGCTTTCAATTAGAGTTGAATCCCAAATCATCAGGAAAATTTCAGTCCTCATCTCTTGTCTGAGTATTAGGGTTTTTTCTAAGTGTTCCTTTATTTTGGATATTAAATCCTGTGTTTTAGGAATGTTACATATTTAAATAATTGAGGCAGTGTTCATGAGTTCTGAAACTCCTGCCAAAATAAATGTGTTAATTTATGACATAATGCTAGGTGCATGACTTGTCAGAATTACGACATACCAGCCACAGGCATAAAATTATCAAGAAAATTTATGAACTTACAAAGACATCTTCACATTTGAAATTACCCTATTAAAGCAATCAGAGGTGATTTATGACCCTAAAGTTAATTTTTGAAAAAGTCTATGTCAAAACAACTGAAAATTTTGCCTCAACTTGTGCAGCTAGAGAGAATGTAAGTAAATTGATGTGGGATTCGGGTATTCTGAAGTTAGTATGCACACTACGTTGTATTTAATTACATCTATTATATCTAATTACATAGATTACACCCATATGTAGGTATGACTTTGGTGAACTGAGGAGGATCTTGGCAAGTAAAAGAACTCAAAAATGGAGATTGAATGTTATCCTTTCTTCTCCCAAACATTGCAAGAGGTAGTTGGGAAGAATGAGAATCATTCCTTTGAGATTTGCTTACTATACTAGTGCTTTGCTAGAAGGCTGAGCTTGAAGAGACTCTTCTGTCAGTGGTGTCTGGGTTGACTTTAGGTTTAAGCTTTCATTACCATTGCTACAGAAAGAGGCCAGAGCATCTCTGCTGTAAGGATAGGCTGAGGGAGCCAGGATTGTTCAGCTGGGAGAAGAGAAGGCTCCAGAGGGACCTTATAACTGCCTTCCAGTACTTGAAAGGAACCTACAGGAAGGCTGGATGGCAGAATGGCATCCTGTGCTTGAAAAGACATTTTAGCAGAGAAGTTTAAGAAAAGGTCTTATCATTCTTAGAGGCTTCACTTTTACTGAAACAATTTTAAAATTGTTCCTAAAAGTGTACCAATATAGAAAATTTAGATTTTTTTTATATTAGAGGAATAAAAAAAACAGACAAAACTGAGTCATCTTTAAAGGTAGGCACTTCTGATTGATCTTGACACTGACAATGGATTATGTACAGACAAAGGTTTTCTTCTTGAAAGTCTAGAATTAGTGAGCCAATTCTAAAACTCGCTAGCTTTCATGTTTCTGAAAGATCTCACTGCTGCTAGGCATTGGTGAAGTCAGTACAAACAAAATAGGTGAGAATAATTAGTACTGATGGTGAACTTTGCCCTGATAAAATATACTGATGCAAATACTAATGGAATTAAAAGATGAGAAATTATTTGTGTTGAGAAGATCTGAAACTTCAGGAAAGAGTTGGATGTCTCATCAATTAATTTTTTGTTTTTAGTTTAGCACTTCATTCTTAAAGTGAAAGGTCTAACTTTTTATTTGGATGTGAAAGTTAATGGTCTCTTAGTGAAAGAAATATTCCTTCTGTTGGTTTAATTTAGATAATCATTTTCCTGCCTTAGCCAGGTTCTTAGAAACCTGACAACAATGCATAAAATGTTTTGAGTAGCCCTTGGGTGTAATGTTACTGATTTCTGGCAGTACTTTCCTTTATACGAGACAGATTTGCAGCTTGGTGATACGATGTCCACTACAGTTGCCTTGGAACATAGTATCATTTTGGTTTTGGAGTCTCTGGTTCAGTTTGCAC